ATATAAAAAACGGTTCAAGGCTATACAGGTACTTCATTCGTGAGCTGAAGATCAAATTTGTTTTTTCTACATAACCATATTCTATCTATTACTTATTTAGATAAACCTATGTAGGTCTAACAAATATCTAAGCATCTATGGTATTCAGGTCATTAGCCGAAAACTCCGTATAATCCAGTTTTTGGACAGGTTTATGTTTCGGAGCCAGTGGAGGATTAACAAGAGTAGCAACTGCTACTACGTAGCCCGCGCTTTTGTATCTCTCTTGGGGGAGAGATCACCGCCTGGCCCTGACCCCATGATATAATTTGCTACAGGCCGCGCGCTGGCTTAATCCGGCAAGGTTCGGAGCAATACTCGTCCAGTAGGGATGATGAAGAGAACGTAAATAAATATCGTGTATCGAATCTACGATATGCTGCTACATGGTACGGGCTATCTGACTTGGGGGCCCTGTACTCTCGAAACTACTTGTGGAAAAGCGTTGGGTCCATAGAAACTTCTGTGCTACGAATTGAGACTTGAAACATACTGAATTTTTGATAAAATTAACCGAAAGTCATTCCATCTAGTTCATATTCAGTTTGTCAATCGCGAAAAGCTTACTATGCCTTCACAAAATAATTGGCATAAGATGAATTGTCGGGTTTTTGTCTGATATCTTAGTCACAGCTTCTGAAAAGTATGTGCGCAAAACTGCTGGTCACTTCACAGATGATTTTGTAAACTTTGTGATTTCACAGACTGGTCTGGTTAGCAAGTTTGGGCCACCAAGCACTGAGGACAAAATGAAAACTGGAAATAAATTTTCCGACGATCAGATTTTGGCACCGATATTCATGAAAATTGGCATACCCAAACCTTATGTTCAAAATATTACTTGATCTTCAAGGTGTTTTTATATACTTTATCAAATCGTATGAATACATCATTGAATTAAAATCAACCTTGAATATGCACGATTCCAAATTAATATCAAACGCTTCCGCGTATGTTCGTTAGCTTTGGATGTTGTAACTGGTTTCTGCTCCAAGCTATTTTTTCAGCATTTTTTTTGTTCCATGTCATATTTTATCTACGAAAGGAACAAAAACAAGCGTAAAATGGCATATTCATATATATTTTATATTTTTATTGAATACAGCTCAGTGCAAGGTTTCCAATCATATTCTTAGATTACAATACTTTGATCTCAAATATAGATGGTAAAATATTGGAAGTATTTTGTGTATTTATACAATGACCCGATTTTATTGAGAAATTTCAAATGTTTTCATCTTAGTCGGCCAATAATTTTATAGAGTGTCTTGAATATCTGTAATCTTGTTTACTACTTATTCATATATTATAATTATTGCTGTTTATACTCGTAGGTACAAGAATATGTGTATATTGCTGATAAGGGATATCAATTTAATTTTGGTTCTCGCGGGAATTTAAAAGAAAATAAGTATCACAAATGCTGTTTACTGCTAACAAAATATGCTCCTTCGATAATAGATCCCAAAAGGGCATGACCTAATTGGACTGTTGGTATTAACAAATATTTGGGTATTATTTGTAGGTATACAGTGGTGGAACCTTTTACGGGTGAGATTCTTGCGAAAAGTCAAAGAAAAAGTTGTCAATTACTTTGCTTCCGGTAAGTAGCTAATTTTTACTTATCTAGGGATCTCGGAATCTTTTTGTAATTGTCTCGGCTCGATAAATGTTCCGGAAGGGCCAGATATTTGGAGATATTCAAGGGGTAAACATAACCATGGAGGAGTTTAGGATGTGGTGACATTGAATTGAGATTGGCCTTCAAGGTCAAATTATCAATTGATATGAGATTCTATACTTTAGACCTCGGAAATAGACAGCTGAACATTTTAGGTTCAGATTTGACCCTGGGTATAAATTATTTTAACCTTGGAACGTCCTTGAAAATCATCCTGATACCTTGACTGGCACTTCAAGGTCAGCCAGCAGTGAACAAAAGACGCCCCTGTTGCCTTTATGTCGTTATTGCTTGATTTTTTGGAAGATCCTTGAAGTTTTTCATGGAAACCTTGACCAAGGACGTTCTTTTTTTTTTGTTATCGACCAGTGCCAATAACAGAACAAAAAAAAAGAACGCCCTTGGTCAAGGTTTCCATAAAAAACTTCAAGGATCTTTAAAAAAATCAAGCAATAACGACATAAAGGCAACAGGGGCGTCTTTTGTTCACTGCTGGCTGACCTTGAAGTGCCAGTCAAGGTATCAGGATGATATTCATCAACGGTACCCTATACTTTTGACCCCAGAACTGGATAGCGTGGAAAATTTTACGTTCATATATGACCTTGGGCGGACATTATTTTGACCTTGAAAGTCCTGTCGCCCCCAAAAACATTCGTTTGAAAATATTTCAGCGATTTTCCTGAAGATAAAGTAAAAATAACATGAAATCAACGCAAGGCTTATCCACTGGTGACTGTGGAACTGACTCTTAACCATGACCTTGAGGGTCAAATCAAGGTCTAGACAATTCTATTTCTATCTTTTTGATTTGTAATAATTCTTATATTCCTGCGACACATTGTGTTCGCATATTTCTCATTTGTAATACATAAAAATACTGGCTAGTTTGTGCTGTTCAGGACTTGTAATTTTTACTCATATATCGATATATTTCAAAATATACAAAATACTTCCAATTGTTTCAAACATCTGTAAATAAAAAAAAAAACAGAGAGAATAAAATTTCTTTGAATATTAAGTTATATGTAACTTCTTACTGTCAGTAAAAAAACTTTACAAAACAATTGAAGTGTTTTTGGACATATTTAAATCAACATGTGTGTAATTTCAGAATTTTTATTTTCTCTATGTTGAAACACTAAGAAACGTTTCTCATTCATTATTATGTAGTTAAAGTGAAAATCTTGGCGCGATTCTCAAAGATAATTTCCTTAAAACTCCATAATAAATGAGTAACGTTCACTCAAATGTGCATTTCATGATGAAAATTATACTTAGATCAATCAACATGTAGCGAAAATATTTCGAGTAAGTCCTCATCTTTATTAATAGTTATTTTGGGAACTGGCTGGATTAAATAATTTCGTAATAGAATGCACATTGGTGTTTCCGAAATGTGGCATTTTTTAATACTCACTTCAGTTTATTCCAATACAGGGCACTCCGAACTATTCTCTAAAAAATGAACAGTTTAAAAAAAAATTAGGCTTAAAGTAAAATGTTGTTTTATAACAAGCCAACTTTATCAAGTAAAAACAAATAATTTTTATTTAATATTGTGCACATGTTTAAATACTTAGTATTAGTAATAAAACTAGTTTTGAGACACCCTATGAATTGATATTAAACAATGTTACGAAGTTAATGTTTTTAATAACTGCGAACTGAGCTCATATTATTTGAACAGTTTTTAAAATGAATCCCGGATTGTAGATAGTAAAATATTTAAATGTTCAGAATTTGAATTACCACAATTTGGCATATCGCATTTGATCAGATTGAGCATGTATTATAGTATAGAGCAACCGAAATGAATCTATGAAACAAATTTTGAACTTTGTAGAAAGATGTGCATAGTCGTATTTGTACGTGATCAACAACAACATATGAAATATTCCGTATATTGGATAGTACAGGAAGTATATTCGCATCTGCTCGGAAAAATATTTGTTTTTTAGCATAATCTTATTTTAGCGTTCTCGTCTCCTCTAATGTACTTTCTGCTACAGTTTTTGAATAACCAAATATTCGAATGATCGTGACAACATCTCACACATTTTTTAACCGTCTGTCAAGTTTTTCTACGAAACCGAACTCAATTATATCGTTTAATTGGTGGCATTTAGAATGCGAATGATGATTGTTTCCACTCCACCTCAAGCGTGTCGAATTTATTTATGCTTCTATTTAATGTGACTTTCAATTGGGCTGAGCATTGTTGCCAATTGGACCTGATCCAGCCGTCAGTTGTTACAACATTGTTTTATTTGAAGTTTAGTATGTGATATACGTGGTTTTAAAAAGGAAGTTGAGCTGACATGCTTTTGGATTTTGTCATATCCGTGCATTTAGGAACTTTGAAAACATTACATTTTTTCCTCCATGTTCGTCAGGCCACTAAATGAAAGGTGTTACATATATACGTAGTTTTGTTTTTCAGGCTTGGAGGTGGCACATTTTGCATTTTTCAAATAATAAATCGCTTATATCTCGAAAACTATTAACTTTAGAGAAACGTTCATAAGAACCTTCTTTTGTTCAAACCTAAACCTAAAAAGACTGTATCAGGAACGAACAACACTATTTCTGGAATTCATTAAAAAAAATGTTTAAACCAATTTAGACGCAATTTTGGGCCTAGTAAGATGCAGATTTTTCAAAAGGGGTATTTTAGATTAACATTATGCAAAAAAAACGAATCTGACTATTTTTTCCAGTGGATGCGAAAGTACTTCCTAGACTATAACCTCTATGGTAGGATCACGGTCACAATCTTAGCACAGTACGTAGAAGAATCTATTACGTCACGTTAGAACCTATTACGTCACAGATTTGGTGCGATATTTAACGTTTGAACTTGGAATTTTACACTTCCCTTTCATCAAAGTTACTAAAAACACTCAATAAATACACGCATTTTACTTTTTGAGACAAAATATTGATATTTTGTTAAACCCACAATTTTAGAGAATTCTGCTTTGGCCGTATTCAGGTAAAACAGCACTACGGCGTTAAAAAAAAAAAATTGAAAGCATGCTTTTCTAATTAAAAAATGTATATTAGATTATTTTGTTCGCCAATCTGAACCAGTAACTATTATCTAAACTAAAAATAATGCATATAGTGAGTAATACGAGCTCAGTCGCATTTTTGAGACAAAGTGCAATGTTTTTACGTCAATATGCATGAATGTGCTCACCAGCTTATTCTTGTACGTTTCACACAAGGGTAAGCTCTAGTTGAGCCTTTGAAAATATTAATATTTATTTTCCTTTAGGTTAATAATGCGACTGCTAGAGTACAAACGAAAAAACCGCCAACACTAACCACAGGTAAATATCTGCTATTACTGGCATTATGAGTTGTCAGGAAGACACTAACAATTTTATTTTTGGAAAAGCATACAAGCTTTTTTCGTTTTTTAATCTATCACAAACGGAATCTCCCCGGCTTCTAATCAAAGTCAAGGTCAGTTCAAGACTTTGAAAAAGTGATTCGTATGTTATTAAAGTCGTTTTATAACGCTATTATAGTCGTTGAGTTAAAACTAAGGGTCAGTTTGTCTTTGTGAGGCTATTTTATGACCACTTCAAATTTGAGGTCAAATACGAAAAAATAAATAACACTGACGTTTTTTGACGTTTCAAAGTATCCTGGTCATTTTTGAAAAAATGTTTAGGGGTAAAAAGGGGGTATGAGTTATAGGAGGATGGCGAGTATATATCGAAATTTTTTATCAGTATCTTTGTTAGTTGATTTGAGGGACTCGTACAAGCAGGTAGCAGATACTGGGGTGACGCGATATGGGCATACGTGGTGGGTGCGAAATTTACACCGTACGAATCATTTACGGTTGAAATCGGCGCTATAATATCTACAAGAGAGAACCGTGAAACACGCGTGTTAGAAAGAGTAGGCTCACCAGACGGTGACAGTACGTCAACCGTAAATAATTTAGTCTACTGTCCTCCAGCATCAACTATAATTATTCTTATGGACGCCATACCGGATTCTTGCACAGATGAATACATTTTTTAATTGTGATTGCAAAAATATATAACGTGTCATGCATTGAGATTGCCAAACCTTAGGTATTTCAAAAAGCAGGCTTTCCTGACTAGACATTTAAATTATCAGATAGTTATTTGTTTCGTATACTAGATTTATCGCAAGATCATGTTTATTTTTTCTTATTTGAGATGAGTTTTGGAAATAAATTGCATGTTCTCGTTACCAACGTTTTCCTCTACAAAATGGCGAAGTAAAATTTTTAATTCGAGGTTTCTTCTTTAGACTTCTAGCACCAACTTTTTTTTTTCATATGGACGCTATATTGGAATTTTGTACATTTAAATACTAATAAGAGCATATTACTTTAAATATGTAAAGTTTATCGTGACATGAATAAATGAATTACGTGTTTATTCTTAGCTAAATGCAGAATCAAAAATTGTATCCTATTGCGTAAAATTTCAATGTAATACCGAAAGCAGAAACGTCCAATTGAGAATTTGGCTACGCCTTTTTGTAGAGGAGAAATAGTGGCAATGCTAATGTGCATTCATTCAGAATTCCATTTCCGGTATATGAAACAAATGGCTATCTGATAATTTCAAAGCCTACCTAGGAAATTCTATTTTTTAAATAACTAATAATAGAAAGGTTTGGTAATGTCAATCTATAACAAATTATATATTCTTGGAATCAGAATTAAAAACTCAATTCACCTGTGTAAAAATCCATTATGAGGGCCATTAAAAAAAGTTGATGCTAGAGGACAATAGACGAAACGTCATACTGAAATTCTAATTATACCCTCTTGTGGAGGAGCAACAGTGGCAATGGTAGTGTGCAATTTATTTTGAAATCCCATTACAGATAAACCCAGGAAAAAAAGAAAACTATTTTGAGAAACATTTTTTTTTCATGAAAAGCCCAAATAATGCATATTCTGACAAAAATCTACGTGTTTTTGATGCCATTGCACTACATGGAAAATTTCACTAATGATTGCTCGAAGGCGTGGGAAGTGTAGAGTCAATCTACTTGACACCACTTTCTGATAGTTCTGTTGCGGTTTGACTAAGGCATTTATTTTTGTTGTCTTTTTTGATAAATTTTTGTAAGATTACTTTGAGAAAAATAGGTTGAAATGCTTGAGGTAAAATCTGTAAAAATCAGTTCTACTTTAGAAATACGCTGAACTTAATGAAATTTGACACTAAGATTTATATGTTTGTATATCATGAAAGTAGTGTCATTTCACAATACCATTATTTTAGGAAATTATTTTTTTTGTCTAATGATTTTCGTTCCGTGGCGTAGAAATTCATGACACCTTGTATCCTGGTACTGGGGTATTTTATGACCTATATTTATACTTTAACTTTTTATGTTATTTATTATTTTTAGATAGTACTTTTTGCTTTAGAATTATTAAAATTGTTTCCTTTGAATCATCAAGTGTATGACATTTGTATTGCTTTGCTTTAGTTTGAGCGTGAGATGACCTTGAATGATTGATATTGACCTCAAACTGACTCCATATTGTTACCTTGAACTGGCATTGAGTTTGCTAGAAGGGAGATTCGATTAGTGGTGAAATCGAATAGCTATAGACTGCAAATTTAGAAAAGCAAATACACACATTGTCTTTTCCAGACTTTCCAGTGCCAGTCCTGCAATGGCCGGATGCAGCCGCTCTGCGCGCAGGCGTGGCCGCCATCCAACGCGGCCGTGCGGCACGCGCCGCCTACCCCGCGGCTGCAGCAGCGGCAGCTGCGGCCGCGTTCGCGCGTCACCCTACCCCTTTAACAGCTGCAGGCGCGTTGCACGGTTACGCGCCCGCGACAGCTGCGGCGATGCTCAATGCGCCGTTAGTCGACGGCGCAGGTGTCTATTATGACCCGTTCTTGGCTGCGCACGCAGCAGCGGCTGATCCCACTTACTCCAGCAGGTTGCAGGTAAGATTTAGAATATACAAGGATGGTGGTAGGTGTATTAAGGGAAAATGGGTAGAGGAAAAGGAATCTCGGCCATCATATTGAGTCAGCTTAATGAAGATGCACTTCACCGACTGAGTAGGTTCAATATGAAAGCCTAGAGTAGCCTCCTCTATAGTGCATCAGCTTTAATGTCCTGATACATGGCTTATGCTAATTTTTTTTTAATACATACACATTATTTGAAACATTGAAAACAATCATCACAGAACAAAACAATGAAAAGGCACAACAAAAAGTTAAACATAGTATGAATACATATCTAAAGAATTTCAGCATCAGCTATGTCTGTACATATTAATGCTAATTTTTCATTATCTGTATCTAGTAATTAAGACGGCCAAATCACAATCCGGACAGTAAATACATGCGTGTAAAAAAGCTAGATACATACATTTGTACATAAAATCTTGTCATTTTTCATTTTCTTGGTGCTTTCCATATTTCCACATGTATTTAAAATTCATGAATTATGGTTATATTTTTATGTATGCAAAACTGGTGAATAAATATACAGGGATTCAGAAGTATATTTTTCTGTTTTCAAATCTATAATTTACTTGTAATGGTTTTCTGTTAACTGTATGATTCGGCGTTCGATAGATTTTATTTTTTAGTTTATTGTTATTTTAACATTATTGAATTTTCATATTAAGACTAGTATGATAGTCCATAGCCCTGTAGATATGGTAGTTCTTATTCAACGTGTAGTAGTTGTACGTACGTTACAGAGATGTATATTAAAGTTTACGATTATTGTAGTAACTAGAATCATGGTCGTAATATCTGTTGCATTTTACATCTGCTCTGTGTAGAATGTATGTTTAATAAATATTCTGTATATATCAAAGAGCTGCTCATTTCTACACTACGTCAAGAACGTTTTCCATAATTTCGATATTAACAGAAATTGTGAGTTAGGCAACATCAATATTTGGAAATTAGACATCTAACGGTCCTATCATTAGTCTATTACATTCTAACCAACTAACCTATTCACATCCATCGTATACGAGTATATAGTGTTTTAAAAGTGGATATTTAAACTAAAAGATGCCATTAAAAAAGCTCTTCAATATTTTTGTTATCAAATCCACTTTTGGAACGTATTACTTTTTTTATGATCTGTTTCACCATTCTTGAAGACTATTTGGTGGTACAAAACAGGTACTGATATTGGTGCCTTATTCAAGACTGTCAAGGCAGATAGTACGTATACCAAGGAAGACAGCTAGGCAAGGCGAATAAATTACGGAGAGATAAGGGATACCACCCAAAACATGGCGTTCAGAAAATAGCTGATAGCGTGCTGTTCGTATCTGGGCAGAGATAAAAGCGATGTTGCCAGATAGTTCATCTTTTTTTGATGAACTCATTGTCCATCACTCGTAGAGAAAGCATTTTTTGTTCATTCAATTTTGTTTAGACATTTCTTCATGGCGGGGATATTTATCATCCGTTTGCAGCCTACGAAATCTATTTTTCATTCCATAAATTAAAACTCCAATTTTCGCGAGTGTACTCTCCGTCATGTAAACAGAAGTTATTCTCACATAGCTATTTAAATTTTAGGGTGTTACATGGAATATTACACGATTTAGTTTAGTAACAAAATACGAATGTCAGCTTGAAATTCAGTTCTTTTCTAACCTCAAATTGCTTATTTAACCAATAGTTGGTGTATTTGACATAGTTGGCAGTTATATAAACAGCCTGGTCTTAAAACGATGTGTTTGCCTATGTCTTATGGCTTTTTAACTTAACCGTGAAAAGAACTAAACTCCTTCAGCTCGTTATAAATGTACCGTTTTCTAAACATTTCATGTCAGTTTGGCAACATCATCTCGGTCAAATATGATCGAAACACGGGGAGGGTATCCTTGTCAGAATGTCGAGCCATCCAAAGTTTTGGTTACATCGCACACTGATATGATATATTGAAAACTAGTAAAAAACTCGGCAAGTTTGCTGTTTATCATCAAAATATGCAAGATTTGACCAGTTGTTATAGTATCATATGAAGATGCGATGATGTAACTAAATGTTTGCGGTCAGCTCTCCTACTATAATGGAGAAGACATTCCACGATATAGCTTCTCTTGATCTAATTACTCTTTGGTCAAGTCCTAATAGCCAGTAGATCGCATATCTGCGAGACTAATACCGACTCGAAAATTTAGTAGCTAAATTCTGAAAATGGTGAAACATGTCATGGACATTCAAAAATAGTATGAAACTATTGGCGCTTGGCCTTCGACCATATCACGTATTATGGGCTATTGAAGTATCTTTTGGTGACATCGAAACCTTAAGTTAAAGGATAATGGATAATTGGGCGCGTGAATTTCGAATCCGTCATAAATTTGGGGCTTCCAACATGAATTTCAACCAATTATTTCCTATCTCGAATTCGAATTTAACGCCTAAAATTACCTAAATGGAAAATTTTACTGCATTGTCTATCTGCCATAGCAGCAAGCAACATCTGGTAACATTTTTGTATGGTCCGGCTATATTGCTACACATTTTGACATTTCCGACCTATTCTCGTACAGTTTCATGAGTCATCCTTGCCTGATTTTGACGATAAATTCTAAAAAGTGTATGTGTCTACATATAGCAGACAATATAATCAAGATATAGCCAAATTATACTGAAATATGTTCATGTCAGCTCAGCTATATTTGCGGTAATTATAGCCAAAAACTAAAATATTGGTCGTTTCGAGATATTTGAATAGTCCATGCTGCAACCCTACGACTGAAGAATTGCAATCTGATAGATCAATTGTTATCAAACCCAAAATAAGTGCATATATGTATTGCATATTGGAATTGATTAGCGTATCCTACCTGCCTGTATGTCAACGTCGAAAAAAATATCCGTTATGAAGTGAGATGTTCCTGGAGTTATAACTAACCTTTTCAAAGTAGATTTCTGAATATTTCGGAGGGGATAAACATATCAGTAACAACTTCTCATATATGGCGCACGAATATCTCATTTCATCTCTGATGATTTTTTGGACGCCGAAATAAAGTAATGAGATGACTATCTTCAGGTGGAACACGTTACCCTCCTATTTCTTGTTCCCATGAGAACTTTTGTGTAGGAAGGTGAGAAATATATCATTTTTAGTCAATTCGACTGGGACCCATTTTCCATATGCTTAATCCGGGGCCCTTAGCACAATTCTCGATATTTCGAATGTTAAATTGCAATTTTTACATGTAAGGGCGCCTAATTTATCGTTTGCGAATGTACAGTCGTATGTCAGAGTATGCGTTACGTGGTGCATGTGTCGATGTGTGGGTGTTCTAGGCAGCGGCCGCGTGCGCCGCCGGCGCCGGTGTCGGTAGTACTAGTGCTTCGGCGGCGGCGGCCGCAGCAGCTGCCGCCATGTTAAAAAGTAGTACCGTACCACCTCCGTTGTCGACTGCCCAGCAGGCCTCCTACCACGCCGCGGCCGCCACGTACACAGCTTCGATGGCTGCCGCCCGTTACAACGCGGCCGCCGTCGCTCAACAACAGCAACAGCAGCAGCAGCCGACCGCGGCAGCTGCGCCCACTGCCGGCGCGACAGCTGCCGCGCAATACGCCGTCGCGGCGGGATATGGCAGGGAGTATGCAGCCGCTGCGGCGGCCGCTGCAGCTACGGATCCATACCTTGGACATGGCATTGGACCGATGGCAGGATACGGGGTGAGTAAAAGCATACCTTTTGATTTTTATTGTAACACGTAACCTAATACGCGTTAACTCCATTAGTTTTGAAGTTGTCCTTAAACTGGCCTTAAAACGAGCTCGTAGAGACCACCTAACGTCGAGGTCGAACTGAGTGATCTCAAAAACGTAAGAAACGCGATTAGAATCTATTATTCGTTTTTTTTTTTCGAATTATTGGATCTCAAAAACCTTATTAATACATTCGAAACTATCGGCTAAAGCAACTTATTACGGTCGAAATCTATTACTTCTTCCACATCGTTCATTTAACGCGAAGGAGTGCTTTTAGTTCAAACCTCGGAACCCGGGCGGACTGAAGGGATTTTTGAGATTATTAATGAAATTTGTTTAAAATACTGTATATTCAAAAGTTTAGTATCAATTTTGTGCGCTTTTTATTTTCATTTGTATTTAATTTCTTTGAAATTTCGTTCAATTAAGTATGCGGTTATCTATAATATAGCATCTGATTTGTGTATTAAACCAAACAAAAAAGGTCATGTCATCTTATGTATATTACGGTTTTCTGGCTAAGTTACAGTGTTCATGTTCATTTGTTCTGATATTGATATTTTTCTTAAATTACACTGATAAACACAGGATTTGTGACATGGCAATTTTTGAGTGTATCTTATGTATTTTGAGACCCTTAAATCAAATCTAAAAACAGAACAGGGACGCTTTTTGTTCGTCAAAGTACAGTACTGCGTTTTGGAAGCATTGAACTGTACAAGATTGTTGCGTCCCCAAGCAGTGATAGCCTCCAGGTCTCTTGTCAGAGAGGAAGTCATCGCTAGTCTTCTTTTTTCCAACTCAGCGGCAGAGATCGGCTTGTCACTCTGAATTCCTGCATGTAGAGTGCTGTCATCAGCGAAGCTGTGGATTGGGTTGATCGTGCAGGAAAGGAAGTCGTTGATATGTAAGAGAAACAGTGTCGGAGCCAAGACCGATCCCTGGGGAACACCCGCGTTGACGTTGTGGGATGAAGAGGAGAACCCGTCAATTACGACGGATATCTTGCGGCCAGAGATAAAGTCAGCCACCCATCTGCAAAGCTTTTCTGGGAGGCCATAGGATGGAAGTTTGCTTAAGAGGGCAGCGTGCCACAGCTGATCGAACGCTTTTGTGATGTCAAGAGCAACTACACTGGCCTCACCATAAGACTGGATGAGTTTACTCCACAATTGAGTGACGTAAGCTAGGAGGTCCCCTGTGGATCGTTGGTGCCGGAAACCATACTGCCTGTCGCTAATCAAGCCGTGACGTTCGAGGTAGTCCAGAAGCTCCCGATTTATGCACCTCTCCATCACCTTACTTAAAACAGAAAGCAGAGCTATAGGCCTGTAGTTGTAAGGGTTGGTCTTAGATCCCTTTTTTGGGATGGGTTGGACATGAGCAAATTTCCAGTTTTCTGGGAAGGTGCCGGATTCATAAGATATCTAGAAGAGACGCGAAAGAACTGGAGCAAGCTCCGGTGCACACCTCTTCAGTACAAGAGCGCTCGTCTTACGGTCTTATGCCTGAATGTTACCTCCCGCATAGTGTAGGGAACCCTTTGAATTGACGGCACTTGGGCGTTGGGTGCGACGTCCATTGTGGAGTTGGTAGCAAAGATCTTGGCTAGCACTTCCGCCTTGGCCTTCGAGTTGAATACAATAGTTCCATCCTGACACGTAAGTGGTGGAAGGCTACTGTGTGAGAAGTTCTTTTCAATCTGCTTGGCCAGCGTCCAGAAAGACCGACTGCCATTGAGCTGCGACATTACCCTGTGCCTAACTTTTATATCATGCTGGTTTTTGGCATTGCGTACCGCTGCTTTATATTTGTTTCTGGACTCAACGTCGGCTTGTCTGTTCTCTACAGTGGGGTTTTGTGAGAAGGTTCTGTGTGCCTTGATCTTCTGTTGGTGACCAAGATAAACTATGGGCCCCTCATATATGTTGTTAGTCTTGTGTAACGTTGTTAACAGGTTGGTTAAGAGGCGACAATCGTGAAATGCCCTTTGCGGTACCAATGGTTTGGAGAGAACCAAGAGCTCATACTACTGATTGCTATTTTTGCTTCAAATACTAAAGGTATTGGACCAAAATCGAATCATACTGTTAAGTATTTTAATTTACTATCAGCTTTGCGGCCGGTTAAGTATAGTGATGAACTTTCTGTCCCAGTTCCACCAGAATCTTGGTCTTTGGATGAGAAAGTCAAATCCACCGATTCTGAAAGTGATGGTACAGGAATTTCCCATCCTCCCACACAGAGCGAACCTAATGTTTTAGTTAGAGAATTAAATCTGTCAAAATCCCAGTCAGAACTTTTAAGAGTCAAGATTAAAAGGATGGAATCTTCACGGTGATGTTAACTTTTTACCGAAAACGGCAGCAAGACCTCACACACCGTTTCCGTCAAGAAAGGGAGATAATATATTGCTCCGATGTCAACAATTTGTTTGACGTGTTAGGACAGAAACATGATCCAAATGTTTGGCGCCTGTTCATTGATTCCTCTCCTGTAACGCACGCAGTTCATATGAAGGAATCATGTGAATATATATAATATTCGTTATAATGAATATGGATGGGCCATACGTGCAGATTTAAAGGTAATAGCCCTTCTTCTTGGAATGCAACTGGGATTTACCGAATATTGTTGTTTCCTTTGTGAATGGGACAGTCGTACGCGAGATCGTCATTATGAACAGAAGAAGTGGTCACTACGTCAGGTATTAACTCCAAGCCTCAAACACATTGCTCATGAACCACTAGTTGGTCCCAAAAACGTGTTGCTTCCACCTTTGCATATTAAGTTGGGACTGATGAAAAATTTTGCGAAAGCTATGCATCGACATGGAGGAGGGTATATTTGTGGGTCTACAAATACGGAAAATCATGAAGGATGATGTATTTGACAGTGCTCTAAATGAAACTGAATTACGAGCTTGGAATGCTTTTAAATCAGTTACTGCAAATTCATGCTTATAACGGAATGGGATGTAACATGTCTCTAAAAATTCACTTTTCGGATTCTCATCTTGGCAGAGCAAATGGAGTGTCAATTTGCTTGCTGATTATTGACGGACATTGTTAAGAGATACTTCAGTAGCAACATATCGCCGTAAAACATCGACAACAACATTCTGAGATTAATGTTTATTCGAGTGTTTATTAGTACTCTTACACACATATCCTTATATTTTACGAGTATAAGCAGCAAATAAAATGCCTTATTGCAAGAAAACCGTGGGTGATAAAAAAAATCGAATGCTATTTCCGGCTTTTTGGGTATGTTTTACATATTAACCACCTTGTTTTGTCTATGTCACAAATAATTATTTTAATTTTGTTCACAAGTGTTACTTGAGTTGTTTAGACTCAAACTTTGCGAATGGGCGGTTATTGAGAGACGTTATATCAATATCAAATTTCAACCCCGAATTTCGAATTTTAACTAACCGCGTCACTGAAAGTAGTTTTTTATGGGTATGATCAAGGAACCATAGGATCAACAAAAATGTCTGCTTATCTTTTGATAAGCAATGCCACAACCTTTAGCTATAACAATCAACCGAATGTGGAACTCCCAGAAATGAACCGAAGATGCAAAATGTTCCTAGAACGCTGCAGTTTTATATATCGGGACTTTGATCCGCATGAAGTCTAATAAATTTCAGTATTTTTATAACTAAATAATATGCTTTAATCAAACAATGTGTGTTATTTTTCTTTGAAATTAAATAAAATCACATGAAGGTACTTAAAACGGTTGTGGTGCGTATTAAACTATAACTTTTATTTTTTATAGGCTGTGGCTTATCGTAGTGGTTACAACCGATTTACGCCCTACTGAACATATCATCAGGCCTACCACTACCACTCACACTACGAGAATACTCAAGAAAATCTCTCATCGTAACTCTTTCTATGGTATGGTGTTTACGTATCGTATAGCACAATACAGAGCACAAATAGTATTAAAAAAGGCACACGATCTTTTTTGATGGTTTCCGGAATACATCTTTGAAAAGATTTGATTTCACACGTGTAATTTTATTCTGCTGATTTGTATAGTTACAAATATATGTACATTATTAAATGATTTTGATTCTATGACCAACGTATTATCCTAGATATAAATGCTCGGAATCTATGTAGTGGTGTATTTGCAAATAGAAGACATTTTTATCTTTATTTCTACTTTCTTTTATCCAGTATCGAGTATGCATTGCGGTAGAATCACAGCTGACTAGTAATATTTCATGATTCCCCATATCGACAAGTGACACACAATGCTGACGGATCCGTCAACGCCTGGTAGACAGAGCCGTATTCTGTTGTGTTTTTTGTACGCTACGGATTCATTTTGTATTTGCTAACAACTCTTTTATTTAGAAAATTTAATGATCATGACTAAATTTCAAGTTAGGTAGGAATAAAATAATATAAACAGTTTATGACACGATAATCATCTCTACTTCTTGAAACTTGAAATACCAATGAAACAGCTATACAATTAATTCAAAATGTGTGGCAGTTTATGACCGAATTGATAGAGGTTCGATTCCCCGAATAAGGTCTGAACATTACTGAGGTAATTCTAACAAGTTAGAAAAATATACAACTATTGCAGGGAGCCATGAAATGTAGTCAACTTTTACAGTGCAGTGATCGCGAGTACAGGCAAATTGAGAACACTGCAAAAATCCTGAGGAAACGAAAACGTCGCGTGGAAGGAGAATAATAAAAAGATTTTATGGTTTTTACAGAGAGTGTGAGATATTAAGCAATATCAATTTGAATTACACCTTTCAAACGGCCAAATGAATGCAGGTTGATGTAACGTGCAAGATCAATTTTTTACATGAGTGCTGTTTTGAACAAGCTGTATTCATTATTAATGTCTGCATATACTTAACCTTTATTTGAATTAAATTGCTCTGATGACGGGCAATTAACCAGAAACACGTATCTATATTCTTTTTATAGGTAAAATTACATCTAATGGAAAGGACAATGCAGTTTGTTCTGTTGACTTGCCTCGTAATCAATAAATCCCAAATGTACTATAATAATTTTTCAATAAACATGTTTCTATGTGTACTTTGTATATTTTATTGTCAAAAAATTCCCAGTTACTAAAAGTATCTAGATACGTGAACAGCTTTGAATAGTTTTTCTAGATTTACATCTGATTTGTTATTGCCAGCGTTACAGACTAATACAAAGAAGTCACTTGTTGATCATTTGCTCACCTCAGTAGACGTCAAAACGTAATGGATACTCGTAAAATAGGCTGTAAGTGAGACCCATAGCTTACTGAATATACATATTATATTTTCAAGTTTTTTTGCGAATCGTGTCAGTCTTTTCCTAAAATTCAACTGTCTCGGGCAATATTAAGATTCTGATAAACATGCATTCCAGGAAAAACACCACTTCCACTATTTTCACGAAGCTACAGCTAACAACTGTTTTTTTTTCATAATCACGGGTGCCCGTTAACATGAATCAAGAGGTTTCCAGAAATATGTTAAAACGATTTTTTAAACAAATTATAAAAACATCGGTTTTTGCTCTGGACCAAGTGTTCTAGGTATTTTAGATCAGTGAGATCCCTGGTAATGTGTCTCTTAAGTTGACCGTTTTCCAATTGTACATTATTTAAAGCATGAAAAACCTGTCCATTTTCAATGCTTAAAGGCTCGTTTAAAAACTATTATTTTTGAGATTGACAAGAGTCCAAATTAAAATCCAAATCTTCCCATACAAAACCCCGGAGAGTATGTTAGCCTTGATTTATTTTGAAGCATTGCTATTCAATTTTTAATAACGCGCTATCTGTCATGCAATATTTTGTACGCTCGAGAGATCCATAGCGCGTTATTAGTTAACCATACTTCAGAATAAATCAAGCCTCAAAAAGATTTCCGGGGTCTTGTAAGGGAAGGTTTTAACTTCAATTTAGACACTTGGCAACATCAAAGATGACAATCCTTTAACCAAGTTTTTAAACATTAAATATAGATAATAAACCGCTTATATCTCGAAAATTTTAGAAAAAAGTTACTAAAGGTCTTTTATTCTCAGATATGTATGCTCGAAATATTTAAAAAAAAAATTATTTGGAGTAAAAAACATTTTTTTACACCAAAATTTGCAAAAAATGTTCAAACAAACGTTCACCGAGTTACCGCCTGGTAATCTCTTGATTTATGATAAGAGGCATCTAACAAACGTGATTATGAACAAAAATCAAGGTAGAATGCGAAGTTTTCGCCTCGACTAATTGTATAGTAGACGTATCTGACATTCTTGAAGCTATCAAAAAAGGTGTTCGTGTATTGAAGAGCCAAAGAGCTGAAACTCACTAACATAAGCCCTTGTGATAGCCCAAAAAACAATGCTAACCGAGCTCTCTAACATCTTAGTATGTAAGGATTTAGTAGTAAATTACGCAAGGGGTTTCCAGTCGCTTGTACTCCAGTCAAGGACCATATGTTTGTGATCAGAACCATTTTAAGGTTATAATCTTGATTCGTTATTGTGTAAGGCAGGATTTCGAAGGAGCTTTATATTTTGTGAAAATGAATTGTTAAAAAGTTACTAAATGTTCCTTGATTAGCAGCTTAGTTTAGCTCAATGGCATATGAACGCTAAAAAATTGATGGTCAATCCGCGTAAAACGGGCGGTTGTTATGGACATGCCGTTTAGATAACTAATAGGATGATGCTGTAGTTCATCAGCATGGCCGCCGTGTTAAGCTCTGAATTCGTAATCGTTCCATCACGCAAAATTTGACGCAGCCATAATACCCGTTTTACATCAACAATTTCTCACGAATTTATTCAGATGGATTTCTTCAAAGGTCATCCCGATTATGTTTTGCGATGTTTACATCAGTGGACAAATTGATTGATTATCGGTCAGTACACAGTGCTGCCAAACACAACAAATTCTTGCTAGAAACATTATTTTTTATTTTGAGGCGAATCTCATAAACAGAAACCATACTGTAGGTCCAAAAAGTTCTATGTTGGACTTGAAAATTAGTTCAATATAATGAAAGGAAAACAATGTTAACACCATGGAATTCGACGTTCAACTTGGCAAAAATTAGAACAGGTTATTTCGTAAAGAAGTCCACAAAGAACTTCATGGATTTATTTGATCTCAAGTTCCCGTTTTACACTTTTGAAATTTGGCCATGAAGTCAATCCATTGAGAAATCGGTGGATTTATTGTCAATGTAAAACGGGTACAACCAAACAGTATTCACAGATTGACCGCGGTGTTCCGTTAGGAGCTGTATAGATGGCTCTAGATATAGCGCACCTAAAAAATGGAGTAACCGATATATCAAATCTTTTCATATAACTGAATGCCGTCCTTCCAAGACTTTCAGCGTTCGTATGTGTCACTTAACATCTAGGTACAAAAATAGTACATACGCATGTTTTCAAAATTGTCTGTTTCTGCCTTTTTGGTTTGTTTTATTATTTTATTATAATAGTTGACGAATCATTATTCTGCCTTACATGTTAAAATAAATGATATTTTTTCTATATTATGATACTGACTCATCGGTGAGACTTTTTATTATATTCCAGCAGCTCGAAATGTGTATTTGCTTTTAGGATATCGAACTGTTTGCATATTTTGTGTGATCATTACGTAAAGCTTATGGAAAAAGTAACTGTCAGACGTTTATACCGAATGAATTCCTGCTTGAAATGAGTTAATCAGTTTTATGACCCTGGTATAATATGTGAAATTGTAGTAAAAATAAAAACTGATTTGTGCCAAAATAATTCAAAAATATTCGGAAATTAGTAGAATTTGAAAGATCCTTGAAATTCATAATGTATATGCCGTTTTTATTGTGTTAAGTAACATTTTGTACTGGTGTAGCCAGTATCAGGTAAATGATTGATTTAATCTAGTCAACTTTGAAAAATGACAGCTTTTTATCCGAATAAAATTCAGCAGCTTACAAATAAGGTATTTTTCTGTAACAAAATGTTTGTAGCAAATTTTTCACGGCAGCTACAAAAATAGTAATCCAATCTACAATTTTTTGAAGAGCTGAGATTAGGCAAGGAAAAAACAAATTTCTCGAAAAATTTAGGTATTGTACATATATTATATTATAATTAAACATATTTCTTTTCTAAAATATATGCGATGTGTACATACTTATCAGTAGAAATAATTATTGAAGCTTATAGTAGCTGGAATATTCGATTATTATTGATGAAATAGAAATAGCGGATTAGCAATTATTTCACAAGAAAGTAGTGATGATATGTGTATAATCCAAATCTAATTATTATAAATTATGCACAAAATCAGATAGTAGTTTCTCTTTATTGTAACGTAGCGAACCTATATACGGTTGAACGAAACAATAGTCCAGGCAAATTATACTTTGAGGTTAATGTTTTTAAACCATCGCTGATTTCTACTGTGAACTTACAATAAGGCTTTGACTTCCAATATTAATTTTGTTCCGCAGATGTTGGATATTGATATTCCTAGCGTTTCGGATGACTTTTTAAAGAACTTGATATTGAAAGTTAATCTATTATTAACATTTATAAGTTATATATGGCTTAGACTATCTGAAAAGCGGAGTTTCTTGTCCTAAAAATAATTCATATTTCAAGTTGAACGCATCAATGAAATTTTGTATTTAAATATCTTTGAATGTATTTTAAACTTTTTTTTTATAAGCCCAATTTTCGTAATTTTGGCATTTTTAAAAAATCCACCCATTTCTTAATATTTAACTTAGTGCTTCTGTATGAGTGCATGGTCACAACACTTTCTACTTAAAATCTATAAAGAACACACTAACCTTCGGAATTTATTTTGAGATGAGACTTCGCGTAGTAATTGGATATTGACCTATTGGAATAGTAACGCAGAACACTCTATCATTTCGGAGAGAAAGACGTTGAAAAATTAAAAAAAAAATTATATACTGGCAAGAGTTTTCAAGTGCCTTAAATAAATTCATTATATTATACATATTTCACTAATACCCGTAATTTAAATGAAAATTTATTTTGCTAACGAGAAAAGCTTCTTAAGGTTTAAATCATCATGTAATTATGTGTTTATTCTATTATTTATAATATAATATAGCCAATGGTTATAATAATTATATTTATCAATATGTGAATAGTTTCATTTGATTGTATTTCATATACATTTTTTACCACAAACATAGACCTGAATGATAATCATCGTAATTACATTTAAAGCATAAACAGTTTTGGCGTATAGGACAATTAATAAAAGTGGAATTTTTGCTAGAACTGTAGTTTTCAAAAGATCAGATGGAAAATAAACATAATTTATATACCTAGCAAAACGAATCATTTTATTAAATACTCGCGATGATACGGCATGCACACACGTTGCCAACTAGTCTATTATGCCGCTGATACTCGAGAAACCTTACTATACTCGGTACCGAAAAGGAAGAGAGCAGCGGAACACATCGCACGCCACTGCCAACGCGGCAACTCTTTGAAAATATGGCGGGATACGAGTGCACCGACTTATCTCTTCCTTTTCGGTACCAGAGTAGAGTATCTAAGGTGATACGATTTAACTCTTGTTTTTTTAATGTGAGCGCAGTTATTTTTATATGTTATATGCTTGTGTGTTTTATTATGGATTTGAAATAGAAACTCTTGCGACCATTCGCTCGTATAAAAATACTAATTCGAAAGAGGATGAATCTTTGACTAAAATGCGAAAATTGCTAAGTTTGGACTTTTAAAGAAAAATTAAGTAATAAAATAAAAAGAAAATGATGTAAAAAGTTTGAAATACATATTCTCTGAAATATTTAAATGTAAAAATTTCATTGATGCTATCAACTTGAAATGTAAGTTATTTTCAGGGCCGAAGACTCGGCTTATGGACCCTGGACTTTTTTTGACCTAATATAACATATATTTTCGTTAGTGTAAAACAACCTTCCATAAGCAAGGTTTCCTGGGCATGAACTACCTAGAGTATAGTGTTTTCACGTTATTACTATTGACAAATTTGCCTTCTAAAACTTTTGGTAATATATATGATTTTATGGGTCTTTTACTATTTTCTTTGAATTTCACGTTATAGATATTTTATAACGCACTAACACTTTGTTCAAACATTCCATGATAATAATAATGGGAGCTTCCAAATTAAGTTTCGTGATATTTGATCAAACATTGGTCCAGTGAAGTTAAATCTATTTTCAAATACTGTGACTTTGGATCATGATATTTAACTAGAAAAATCAAAAGTAATAAGGTGGATATATTGCATGATTCATTTAGAGTTACTGTTTTCAGAAGGATTTCAAAGAAATAATCTTCGAAAACTAAACGCCAAAAAAGTTGTTTCAAGATAAGTCTTAAAAAAGTGCCTCTAAATGATTCACCAGTTCATGGGAGATACTTTGGAAAACATCACATACCTATATAGTAGAACACACCTTATGGAATACTGATCAGGATATTTTAGTTTAGCTTAGTTTAGTTAATAAGCCCTACATATACTAGATGTGTATTTTGACTGGTAGAAGTATTGTAACTTTTTTGTTTATGTATTAGGACTTTTATACATTTTAAATATAAGGCTTGATATGACGATAATAGTTTGAGTACAAGTTAAATGGAAACCCTTATATTTATGTTCTAAGTTATATTTTTTGTCAAGTTATCTCTCTATTTTGATACTCTTATTTTTAGGTGGAAATTGTTGTCCACACTACATATCGACTCTCTATATTTAGCTCTCTAGATGTGTACAGGTTTTCATTTCTTTTTTCTAAACGTAAATATAAAAAAGTTTAGTAGGAAGTATTTTCAATGATTTGGTTGTTCAGGGTCTTCCCTCTTTATAACATATTAAAATTAAAATCAAACATCTTCCCAACCTAAGACAGAATATAAAATTTGAAATTTACGAAAGCCATTTGTCAAGAAAATTTTAGTTATATGTGGAATCAGGCACTGTTCTCACCAAAGGCAACCCGACTCGATTTCGACTTTGCTTGTTTTACTATTGGGTTCCCACTGAAGCAACTGGCAGTCTCATTTTGACGTTAAGGCGGAATATAAACAGATTAGTTTGGTATTCAAAAGCACCGATCGGAAGAAAAATCGTATATGTAATGTATTTCGTAGATCAAATCTTCCAATGCACAACAAATACAGTGTGTAGTGAAGAATCTACGGAAAGTAGTACCTTGTATGCAAACATATTTTTAAGTCTCACGGTCACTCGTACACTATTAACTTTTTTGTCACTCTTTAACTCAAACTCTCCTGGAAGGTTTTCAACTCTGTTGCTCCATTTGTCACTTCAAAGGACACAGAAACCCGAGAGGTACATGTTGCGGCAGAATCAAGGAGGTATAAAAAGACACCTGGATTTATAGAAAAAAGTGTTTTTGTTTCAAAGATGGCGGCCGTCCACAGAAACACACTGCTCAAGACCCGGATGCTTTGAGCAGCTCGTTAACATGTAGCGTAATGGCAGGGTAGTGAGAGACTAGCCCAGAGTTTCTGAGGTTGAACTGACGTCAGGTGACACGATGCGCGGGTGCTGTGCGCAACCGATTCTTACTTTAAAAATGACCCTCATATCGTGGGAAAAGCGTTTACTTCTCCAACAGTCCACCTCTTAGCTATAATAGAGTGTGAGGAGGATGCCTAAACGCTCTATACTTTAGGTATCCCTAGAGAAAAAAGACACAGATACTCAGATCTGATGACCACCCGGGCCACCTCCTCGCACTCCATTAGACCTAAGAGAGCGTATTGTTGAAGAGTTGAATGCTATTCCACACGATATGTGTAAGCGTGCTTATTCAGAACTTTAGGAGTAGTTTCCAGTGTGTTGCTGCTAATGGCTCCCATCTTGAAAACAGTATTTTCAAAACTATGACCCTGTCATTCCGAATTTACATACATTTTTTTTATATATCCAGATGTTTTTTTTCTGAAGCTGTTTACTTACTACTGATCACACAGGCGGCCTATGACAGGCCCACGAAATAAAAAAGTAGTTGTTTTTCCCATGTACTGTTTCATGCTGAACATGAATTACTTTTTTATTTGTCCACCGACCCCCAATTTTGACTTCAGATTCAAGTTCAGCGAGAAAAAATGCATAGGAAAAACATAGCCGGACCCTAAGCACACACCACTTTTTTATTTTGTGGGCCTGTTGCAGAAGTGTCACAATGACATATTTGATCAACTGATAGGCATCTGCAAACTAACCAACGACCTCAGTGCTAGTCTACCGTTGACCAACTCGTCGTTTTCCCGTCACTTTGGTATGAACGCTTGTATTTGAATTCAAATGCTAAGTCGGATTGCTGTTGCCATTTACTTTCGGTGAGAACGGTCCCTTAGATATCAAAAATTGTGCTTTTGCTTATGCCGATTTTTAATATTGAAAATGCCTCCTATACACGTTATATTATGCGAAGCCAATTTTTCTCTAGTCGCTGTATATATTTCATACACACGTACAAAGAACCCAAGACTCCCCGAAAATTCCTGTTGTAATTTTTCTCTTGTATGAATTTTGATATTTGACACGGTATCGTCAACTGGTAATTATGAAAAAGCTGCACAAAGCAACTAAACCTGTGTTATAATTTTTCGATTTTTTTTTAAATTTTTTCTATTTGATTATTTCGGATGAAATGCGTGGTGATTGTGTATTTAAGAATTAAGAACAATAAAAATAGAGGTTGATAAAGTGTTTTATTTACTACTAAAGACCCCCAACAACGAAATTTACATCATTTAGGCGGGAAAATGGATTGCTAGACAACACTCAGAATAGAGAAGCATGTCTAGACATCTCCGTCAGGCACGGGAGCTCATCGTAGAGCCTAGTGTTAAGGATGGTCGCTTTTGCTTATCTTTGGCTAGAGCCAACCTCAGGATGTGGGTGGGACAGTTGTCTGGTCATAACACGTTGAAGCGCCTCCTGCATGTGTGAGCGTGACGGGCTAGAGGAAAAGTCCTCGGCGCATGTTTTGTCAGGCTCTGAGCTGAGGTGAGCAACACTGGATCCCCAGAATGTTGAGGAACTGGGACTCGGGGCTATACTCAACTTTGCTAGAAGGGCGGAGCTTGAGGATTATGGAATGTAGGGGTACACAAGGGCCCGTTTATGCGGCATATGCGCCGGCTCCTCATGATGGGCGGTATGCCACTAATTTAGTTATTCATTCATTCACAGGCTGGAGCTATGCCAGTTGTTAGGCTTAGCGTCAAGAGGTAAACTAGATTCTAGGATAACGTATCCTACCTAACAAATTCAGAATAATAGGTAGAAGGGGCAAGCAACAATTTGTTTTGAACCAAAATGACGTAGTCAGCAGTCCGAGTGCAAGAGCATACTACGAAAGACGATCAGCTTAAGCTGCTAGCTTGACAGTTGACACCATATTCGGGGTAGTGGAGGGGTGGCGGATGTAGCAAGTCTGTGATTTTGACTTTCGACAGGAGTAAAATGGTCTACGAAGAATTTATTTCTCCGGGACAAAGTCTGCCAAGATTATTTATGAATCCGTCCTGTAGCTCAGACGTGGTCCCCCGCCCTAAGAAGTTTAACTGAATGAAAGCAAATTTTTTTTAACGATAAATGTTCATATAGGATAGATGCTGTAAAAGAACATGTACTCCTCGACTTGGTCTACCTGAACAGTTGAGATTTTTTTATTTATTTCATTCCACTTCGCTTCTTTGAGTACCCAATCCCAATCTAAGGGTTGTTAACATAATTGTATACCTAACAATGTTGAACGAGCAAAATGAAGAGGATAAAATAAAATTTTCAATGGATACTAAAAAACGCCATCCGCAACTTTAACGTTGAGTCTTACCTACTGAATTTTGAACTTCACTTTCGCGTTATAAACAGTAATTTTACGTTCTCGTTTTAGTGTTACGAGACTCTATTGAAGGAGCTCGTTACGGCAAAAAAGGTCCAAATGCCGTTCAAAAACCATCTTATGTCTGCACCGTTACTAACATTTTGGGTAAAAGACTGATAGCTCAAACAATTATATCTTGATCTCTTATCACCTGTAAGGTAAGAAATTTCAAGGTAGGAAACCAGACATGTATTTTTTCCCGACAAGGGTCCTACCGTAATCTAAGCCCACAAAACATGATGGATTATCAATGTTGATTGGAATGACAGCTTTGCAGTGACGATAACCAGGGTAAGCTTCAGAATTAGTAGGAGCGGCGTCCTGGGTCTCTCCATCAGTTCCTTGCGTTACTTCTAGAAGTGAAATTTCAGAAAAACCGAAAACTTGAACCAAAATCAGAACGGTGACAGGTGCAGCTCCCACTCCGTTTCCACGTCCCATTGACGCAAAAGCTTATCTGTACCAGATTTTATATTTGACGAGAGGGCAGTAAGATTTCTCTCTTTACACAATTGCCATAGTTTTCCCGTAACCTAGTCCAGTCGTGGAAACTAGAAGCTCTCCATTCTATTGATCTAGGATGGGGTATAATATGCGTCAGCCCATCAATTCGGTAGCAAAGCATTCACCATAGAAGAAAACTACCAGTGGTTCTTGATGATTAGCATGCGGGACCTTCTCGAGTGAGCAAAAACTAGAGACTCCTCCCTGGCCAACTAATGTCCCAATCCGAGAAATGATACAACAAAAAATTGGATAACTCAATATCTCTGACCGCATCTGCCAGTTTCTTTGATCCCCAGCCGAGGTAGACCTTAAGTTATATTATGGTAGTATAGTGGCATAGTAGAGTTTTACAAGCCAAGAAGTTTCACCCGTTAGTGTATAGTCGGCTGTAACGAAATGAAAGACAAGCTGAAACCAGATCCCGATGTTCACCGCAAAGTTTGGAACTCTGTCTTGGTTGCTGTCCATTATTGCCCTTACTAGGTTTAGTAATGTCTGCAGCGTCCGCTCAAGTAAAGTTACTTTCTTTCTGTTCCAATTTAATACTGAGCCTGAAAGTGCTCAACTTTTTCTTAAGGTATTCCAGAAATGGTTTTATTAACTTTGTGAACACATAAGGGGTATAATTTAGCCTAAACGGTACAGCATTGTATTGGAAGAGATGTCCCTTGAATATGAATCTGAAATATATTCTATGACTCTCCCTAACGGGTACCAAAATCCCGGCATACTGCAAATCCAGATTCGTTAAGAAAGTACCTCTAGTGAGAAGTCTGATCCCAGTTCAATAGCCTAGACTTATGTGTTATGTCCCTATAAACAGACAAAGTGTCTTGAGGTAAGGAATCAAACGTGTTGACCCATGGGGGCAAGAAAAAGTTGGATAGGTGCTGATTTTTAGTTAGCTCAACTTTTTTATGGACTAATGAGATTCAGCTATGGCAAAGTGCTAATCCAGTCGCCATCTGAATGGCAAGTGACCACTTGAGTCCAACTCAGGCCTTTAGCGCCACTCCTAAAGCTCTGACATTGATGATGAATACGCGTTAATGTCCATGCTGATCTACACACCTCATCTGCAATAGCGAGTTGATATTGTCAGTACGTTGTCTGGCCTTTTGGCCTTCAGTTGCTGCTCAGTTTATCTGATTTCTTTTTAGAATTGACTTACTTGGTCAGACGTACACCGAGGAGCAAGATATCACTGGAAGCCTCTGTCAGGGTACTCCTGAGTTCTTTGCTTCAATGTGAATATCTGCCAGCTTGCACTCCTCTCCCTTCTTTGAACCTAGAGGATAGAGTATTGCCACTTGCAGTTAATGAACCGCTCACATGTTGCTGTACACAGTCCAAGCACGCATACCTGCGTGCGACAATTTCTATTATGGCTTCCGTTACCTCAGGGTTCACCTTAGGTGGCTAGAATAGAACAGAATTTATTCATCTATCGTCAACAAAATCTGCCCTCGAAATATCAGCCTTGGAACAACGCGCGAACATTAATTATCCTAAGGTCGCCGCATCATCGTGGAGATGCGTCATCTATTGATACAGACTACATGGCCTTCAAGACAACACAATCCAGAGCGCGCTTCTGTTCGAGTGCCACATATGCAAATTGTAACGTTAATCGGGCATAATGATATTTAACTTCCGTTATTACTGAACATTAGAACTTTGGTGGTTTCCTAACCAGAGATGTTCATACTTACAGTCCTGTTCCATAGTTATCACCAGCCATGTGGAATTTGCTATCACAAGCAAAATGTAACGCTAGTCTACCATAGATGTACCTAATGTCTATATGTTGTTAATGAAACATAGTACTTCAGCTGTTTCGTAACCTGTCATGTGCATATTATTGACCTGTTCGATGGCTATTCCAAACCATAAGGAACTTGCTATCACCAGCAAAATGTAACGCTAGTCTCGCATAGATAAAACCTAATCTCTATCGGTTATTAATGAAAAATGATACTTTAGTGTTTGCCTAAACTGTGCATTCTGACAAAGATATTCCAAGGTTATCAGAAACCAAATGAAATTTGCTGTCACAAGCAAAATGTAACGCTAGTCTCGCATAGATGTAGCTAATCTCTGTTGTACATTAATGAAAAATGGTACTCCGGCTTCTTCCTAACTTCTAATGTGCATCCTTACAATGTTGTTCCATAGTTATCACAAACCAGATTGAATGTGCTATCCCAAGAAAAATTTACCGCTAGTCTCGCATAGATGTACCCAATTTTTACGTTATAAATGAAACATGTTATATTGCTACATTGTTATCACAAACTAGATGGAATTTGCTGTCTCAAACAAAATGTAACGCTAGTCTCGCATATATGAACCCAATCTCTATTTGGTATTATTGAAAAATGGTACGTTGGCGGTTTCCTAAACTGTCTTGTGCATTCTTATTATGCTGTTCCAGGGTTATCACAAACCAGATGGAATTTGCTGTCACAAGCAAAATGTAATGCTAACCTCGCATAACATACCTAATCTCTATCTGATAATAAGGATAAAATATATCTTAACAACTTCCTAGCCTGCCATGTTCAAACTTACAGTCCTGTTCCATGGTTATCACAAACCAGATGAAGTTTGCTATCACAAGCAAATGCGAAAAGATTGTTGACCATACCTTGTTGCTACATTGTCCCAAACGCTTTCAGTGTTGTTATTTGTGCAACGAAGTTCTGTATTGAGTCATTTTTCTAAACATCTTCATTCGTCCTTGGTGTGGACTATCCCAAGCAACCGAGTCCAATGTTACAACGTTATCCCAAATGTCTTCGTTCATCCTTGGTGTGAAGCTGACTATCCCAAGCCAGGTCCACGTTGCTATCCCAAGCAACCGAGTCTAATCCTTCCACGTTATCCCAAACGTCTTCGTTCGTCCTTGGTGTGGAGCTGACTATCCCAAGCCAGGTCCAACTTGCTATCCCAAGCAACCGAGTCCAATGTTTCAGCGTTATGCCAACCGTCTTTGTTCGTTCTAGGTGTGGAGTTGGCTATCACAAGCTAGGTCCAGGTCGCTATCCCAAGCAACAGTGTTAGAACGTTATCCCAAACGTTCTGTTAGGCACAATTTGCAGCGCCTGTGAGGCATCCATACTGTCATTTAACTTGCACCTAAAACAGATCGGTTAGTTGACAGTTACCTGATGGTGACGCCCCTTCAGGCCTGCACGCCACTTTCTACTTTTGGTCCGCGACGAAGGGAACCTTCAGGCGACCGTCGGTCGGTATCTCGTTCGACAATGCACATCTATCGGC